TAGTAAATAAGTTATAATTTGCACCAGAAATTACTAGTTATTATTTAGTTAATAATTGATTTTTTTACCAGTGCTTATTGCTCAGATTACCCTTATTTCATTTTACTATTTAATATTAAATGTAGAATAAATTTATCTATATTACAATTCAACCCACTAATTATTTACTTTAGTAAAAACTCGACTCAACACAAATGCTTGCTTTCCTTTGAAAGCGATTCCGCATTTAACCAATTTCATTGATATTTCTTCTCCAAGGTTTGCGTTAATTTATCTTCGTAAATCTATATGGTTGTTCTTGGATTTATCGATATTACCTGCCGAATGTATACACGACTTTTCAGTTATTACGTCAATGGACCATGATGAAAGTTGAGATATTGAAACTCCTCAGAATGTAGATGAAATAAAAAATCTTGCAAAGCAAGATTAATAATATGAATAAAGCAGCAGACATAGCCTTGACTTTAGTGAAAGAACTACAAAAACCTATAGAAAATGATTCAAATGCTTCAAAGAGAGTGTTGTTATTTGAAGCATTGTCGACGGTTATCCCAAGTATTCAGTGTTGGCACTTTTATTTGGACTTGGACAAATATGGACATCGGACTAGTCCAAATAGTATCCATGTCCATATCTTCTTTTTAGCAAGTCCAGTAGAAAATTATGGAACAATATGGACACTCATGTCCAATGGTCATGTCCATATTTTGCCAACACTGTTGGTTACACGTCGTTTCCCATAATATTATTATTTAAAGTCTCTGGCTAATAACAATTCGACCCTGGTAAAAAGAAATAAACCAAATTTAGTACAGTTTCCTTATTGAACACTAAACACATGCATACATACGTAAACTTATCTTAAAACTCTGTTTACTTTCGTTAGTGGATCTGCAACACAATAACTATATCCACTTTGGTAGTTACGCCGGTAGACTGGATTAGACCAATTGGACGGTCTCTTCTAGTCACGCTACTAAGATCATGCAAAGTATATATATGATTTGTTAATACCGACTAAGTAGTTACAAATTTTTTTTTTGTGATTAACCGCATATAATATCGCACACGTACGTACTGACTCAATGATTCTTAAAATTTTAATATTGGGGGCCGGTTACGGAACTCGACTTCAGCGAGACATTCTCCAAGATGCTAGTCAAAAATATTCACATCTTCTTGGAATTCCAAAAGCCTTATTACCAGTAGGAGGCCAAGATGCATTAATTACACATTGGCTTCAAATATTTAAAACCACTAATATTGACATTGCATCCTCAGTCTATGTGGTAACCAATAACCCCTCATACCAAAGTTTTATATCATGGGCTGATAAAAATGGAATTCCGAGATCGAATATTGTAAATGATAAAAGTACATGTAACGAAAATCGGCTAGGTGCTGTAGCTGATCTACTATTTGGATTAAATTATTTTAAACTATTTGATAACGATTTGCTTATAGTTGGTGGAGACACATTGTTCTTAAGAGATTTTAACTTTAATAAATTATTAGACAAATTTTCGACATTTAATGATGGATGTTTAGTGACAACATATACCATTCCTAAGAACGAAATCAGTAAATATGGTATCTTAACAATTAATAAATTAAATGATAATGGATTATTTGAAGTTACAGATTTTTTAGAGAAACCGAATCCAGAATCAACAAATTCCTGTAATGCTTGTCCATGCTTTTATTTTTTAAAAAGTGAAGCTCTGCCTTTAATAGAAGAATTTCTTAAAGAAGCAGAATTAAAGGGTGCCAAACTTGAAGACAAAGATGCTACAGGAAAATTTTTGGCTTGGGTTATTAAAGGAAAACATTTTAAATTTTATGCTGTACAAGTTAATGGGAGAATTGATGTGGGCGACTTGAAAAGTTATGTGGAAGCAAAAAAATATTACGGGGATTAGGATTAAGACGTATAGAAGTAAAAAAAAAAAAAAAAAATTTACTATTTCATGCTATACTTTGAGTTCGTTAATCTACGTTAGGCTTCATTGAACTAATAACACTCATAATTTAAATCAAATTATCTATAATAGGCATAAAATTATTTAAGAAAAGTTTAGCTAAAGAAAACTATTCACTAGAATTTGTTATATTTCGGTCTAGCTTATTTTCTAAAACAACTTGGTAGAAATTTATCGAAAAAAGTTTCGTTATTGCAATTTTTTTTATAACTTTAATTTGTAATAGAAGTAAAAAATTTTTAATGCGAAAACGAAATTTTAAAAATTTTTTTTGAAATTTAAATACTTAAAAACAATTTGCTGCCACCATATCTCTAATATGTGCTATCAATTATTACTAATTGCATGTAGAAAGGAGTGATGGCTCGTCCAGATAGCTCATAAAATTTTTATTTTATTTATTTATATACTTGTAATATATTTATCTTATAATTACCAAGTTTTTAAGATTGGGTGTAATACAAAAAGTAAAAAATAGCTATTTTTCAAAGATTAAATTCTAATATTAAAAAAAAATTTTTTTAAAGATTTCTCAATAATAGCCTGTCAATTTCAATGTTTTTTTTTGCGCGTAATAACGTGCATCTGCGCGTTATTTCGGGACGCACATGTGCGATATTTCGAATCATTTTAATACCGAACGTAACAGATTCGGTATAGCAAATATAGTGCTAGTTACAATTAGGTTCAAGGCAATATTGTAAAGATATTGTATAAGGGCACGTTA